TCTGCTAGAACAGATCTAAAAAGAAAAGGGAAAAAAAAAAAAGGAAAGAAAAAACAGAACTTTCTTCAAGGACAGACTACATAAAGTATTGGAAGCTTTTAACCCTGTAGCCCTCACATTCACCACTCAGAAATAACCAGATGAATATTTTGTTTCAGTTTTCTGCTAATTTGCTCCTTCCTGCTTATGCCTGCCTCAGGAAAGCCTGTTTCTAGGCTTCCCATGTTGTTTCACAGTTCTAAGAGGATCAGCATAAAAACAACAGCAGTTTAGCCCTATACAGAATCATAGAATCATTTAGGTCGGAAAAGACCTTTAAGATCATCAAGTCCAACCATTAACCTAACACTGCCAGGTCCACCACTACACCATGTCCCTGAGCACCACATCTACATGTCCTTTAAATACCTCCAGGGATGGTGACTCCACCACTTCCCTGGGCAGCCTGTTCCAGTGCTTGACAACCCTTTGGGTGAACAACCTAAAAATTGTTTTAATTTCATGTCCTAAAATATTTCTGCTATAAAAATCCTATTTTAGCTTGCTGGTTTATATGATAATTCTGAAAGTCTAATGGAAAATGCAACAACAATGAACATAATTGCATTCCATTATTTCACCTATTTAAAATACAAGTCCTTTCCAGGGCTATTTTATTGCTTGTAACTCAACAATAGCTTACAGAATTGAAAATTATTATTTGCAATTATTTTTTTTATTATTATTACTATTAATAGAATTCTACCCACAGTGAGTAAAAGTATTTATTTATAGCTGTATCTTCTGCACTGCTAAAAGCTGAATATGTAGAAATATCTGGGAGAGAAAAAAATATATAATTTACATATAACTAGGGGAAAAAAAACCACATTTGGAGTTGCTAATTTATACAAGAAACAAACAAAAGGCAATTAGCCTACAGCATGCAACCACTTCAAGTGATGATTGCCTGCTCTAACAAGTCACCTTTTACTTGTCATAGCAGACAGAAGAGAAGCACTTCAGGCCACATCATGAAAGACAGCGGTTGCAGGGACAAGCTATTGTATCCCAACACGGTCCCAGGTAACTCATTCCTGACTCTCCTTGAAACATGTTGCCAGTCTCCTCCAGAAGGCTGTTTCTCAAAGCTAGTTGGCAAATTGTTCATCATGCCAACCAACTTCAACTGGTAAGCTGGATCACAAAACAAAAAGCAAGTCTGTGACATGAGCAATCAATGGCAGCACTCAGATCTTAATTTGATTAAGTAGAGGGAAATGATGACCTGGGAAGAGGAACATTTAAAGGTTTTGGGAAGGAGCAACATCTGTGCCTAGTAGACAAGTAGGGGAGAGAGTGGAAAATTTACCTTTGTGACTTTCCTTCCTGACCAAATTTGGAGTTCATTATAACTCAGGGTTTCTGAATAACAAGTGCTAGTCAGACATTTATATAGCAAGTCTTTTGATGACACTTGATAGCATTTGTCCAACTGTCAGAGCCCCGTCTCCAGCTGTGGCTAATCACAAGTGCTTCAGATGAAGAAAACAGAAAAAAAAAATCCACAAACTATACCTAACCATGATGTGTATCAGAGAAAAAACAAAGCAAACCATTTTCTGATTACTGTTGTGGGTCAACAGTTGAAACCCTCAAGCTTAAGATCTGGTTATAAGTATTCTAACAACAAGCTGCAAATGTTATGAACGTATTAAGGACATCAAAAGGTTTTTCTTGTCCACTCCAAGGCCAACAAAAGAAGAAAAAACAGTAGTAGTAAGGGGAAACACTTAGATGCCAGAAAGACCACAGTGACCATTTACTCCCAAGTCCATCTCTTCCTCTCAAAGAGAAATAGAAACACCCCTCAAAACAGCATTAAAAAAAAAAATCTTTATCTAGAACACTGAAATACCCTCAGCATGCTTCAGAGGAAACTCACTTCAGAACTTAACTTGTTTCACTTGAACAACCAGAAATTGGATCTAGTTATGACTTTGACAACAAGGTCTACAAATCCCTCAGCACCACATAGCTTTTCCATGTGTAAGAAGCTATTCCGAACAAGTCAGTCACCTCTCAGTATTTTCTTCAATAAGGAGCTGGACATATACAACTTAAACCACACATTAGCTTGTTTTTCCAAAACATGGATCGTTTTATGGCTTCAGCTGTCTAATATTTCCATATATTCTGAAATATGAACACAGAACTGGACACATTATTCTAAAACCATAAAAACCAAGATCCCATCTCTGCTTCTGTGCTGATGCTGTCCTTTTCACGTAGCCCAAGATTAGCAATGGTCTTTCTCCTGCAGCACTGTGCTGAGAACTGACACGACTATGATGCCTAATTGTCCTAATGTATTCCAAGAGTTTTTCTTCATTATTTATTATTTTTCTTTTAAAATCTCTCATCTGTATGTACAATCCATACTGGACTGGATTCAAAGGTAATTTGTTAGATTGTAACCATTTAAACAGATAATTCAGATCAGTATTACTAACCTTTCCTTTTCATTAATTCAATGCTTTTAATGCCCAAATGATCTCTCAAAAACCTGCAGTCCAAGAAAAACTGCCTACCATGAAACCATATCAACTGGCACTAATTATACCTTTTATTATGTTGTTTGAGGTAACAGAATTGCAAAGTAGCAACTCTATTATTTCACAGGCATGATGTTTAACTTGGGTGTCAGAGATTTGGGGTTGGTTGGTTGGTTAAGATTTGGAACTAAATCAGTGATTTCCCAATCATTTGGCCCACTTTCCAATATTAGTGAATAGTAAATGATGGATTAGGGTGTTTTCTTTATCTAACTTCTTTAAGAAGTTTTAGGTATAAATTATCCAGGACTACTGATTCTGATTTAGCAGATGCTGCCTCATTTGCCACAAATTATATACATCCCTACAGAGCAGAGGCACCTACATTTCTGTTTCTGTTCAGAACTGCCATTTGTATTTTGCAGTACAATATTATTCTTAGTAAAGAATGCTGTATTATTTTTATTTCTTTTGGCCACTGGGATTTCATAATTTTCTTGGACTTGCTTTTTCTTGCAGCTCTTGAAGCCTTCCATTCCTGTTGTTGTTAATACATGCATGAGTGTGCAAACGCACAAAAAGGAAAAAAGAAGTGATCAATGCTTATACTACCATACTGCCTAAAAGAGTAATTCAAAGCTTTGAACAGAAGTAAAATGAAAAAGGTATTACACGTTAACATGTACATTTTGGGGTAGTAAAAGAAAGTCTGTTGACAGCAGCTTTAATTTTCTTTCACTAGATTACCAAATACAAAAAAAAGGGGGGGGGGGGGGGGAGGGGAAGGGGGTGGAAATAAACCCATAAGAGAGGCTCTAGGATTCTCCCAAACATTTTTTTCTGTCTCTCCTAGGAAAGTTACCAAAAAAAGTCAATCTCAATAAACATCCTACCTCAAATATTCACACGCTACACTCAGTGTCATATCCTACAGGAAAGTGAATTATCTAAGAAATTTTGAGAGATGAAATGCTTTTATATCAAATATTGAACAAAAACATCCTCTGTATTAAATCTTCCAAGCACCACAGTGCTTGGAAGCAGATGACGTTGTTCTGGTTTTGTTCTAAAACGTTCTGAAAGAGTGAAGCATTCTTTAATATATTACTTGCTGTTCAAGCTACAAATTCAAGATAATGATGAAAGAGCCCCAAATCCCGAACAGTGAAAACACTACTCACTAAACCACTTCATTATTTGTGTTCCTCACTCATTGGGGCCAGCACAAATAAAATTCATAATAAAGTAACAGACAACTACTCAAGAGATCAGAAATTATTTCTACAAAGAACATTTGAAAGGAATTCAATTCTCAGAACATTCTTGGTAAACAAGAATCCAGTTATCACATCTAAAAAAATAAAACATCAATTTAAAACACTTCCAGGGTAACCAAGCAAAACAATAACTAAACACATTGAACATCACACTGAGTCCTTTAAATACCATTTTATTAATTTTGCCTGAAGACAGAAATTACAAATGAACTTCTAATTTAATAATGGATATACAATGCAACTTTAGTTAGGGCTTATGGTTTCAGACACCAAAATAAAACATTCAAACACTTTTCTGCTTTAAGAATGACATTAACACGTGTACACAGATATGTCAGAAAGCCAACTCTGACCTAAATTTAATTCCCACCTTACTCAGAGCTGTATTTAGTAGTTGCAGGATAACACAAGAGATGAGAGTACTGCCACCTCGTGCCAGTCAGGCTGAAGGCTGACAAACAAGATTACTAACTAAACCTAATTCCAGAACATGTTCTATCTTTAAAGTCCAACAGTTATTTGAGATCAGATGCTTGATCTTGAAAAAATGAAAGAGCATAATAGTATCAGTCTTTAAGAACATCTTGAAACAATTCTTTAAATAAAAATAATCAAACTATCTGTACTTAAACAGCATGTCTGACAGCAACTACTCATTGTATTTGCCATTTTAACATCCTGGTTTTAGTCACTCATAACTGTGATAAATTTCAATCATAAGAGATTTGATAATGGATATCTGTTTCAGACTAAGTCTTTCTGGTTTGGTTTTGTTGGGGCTTTTTTGTAAAATATTATGACAGACAAAAAAAGTACATGCATACACAGTTTGACAGTTTCAAAAGACATAAAACTTCTTTTGAAACACTCTAATACACCGATGCTATAAAAAGGGCCGTATACTTACTGAATAAGTATTTAAATACCCACATCAACATGAAATTTAGAAAACTGAGAAGTATTATGAAAATGCTCAATTATACTAACATACCACAAGGAAAAGTTTCCTCTCAGTCCATTCTTATCTAAAATACATGCACTACATCAAGTATTACAAAATGTAAAGAATCTGATTTTCTTCTGTTTATTTGCTGATAAATGTAATTCTGCTCAGTGGATATTTCAGTGACTTCCCCCCCTACAAGAGTCATTATTACGAGCAATAAAAATGTAAAATAGGAGTACTCACCAATATCATTAGCTAGAGAGGCAGGATCAGAGGCCCCAAGGGTAGCCTCAAACTCCTCTTGAAGACGATAAGCTCTTTGAAGAAGGGATTCAAGCTTATGAATGAATTCAGCACTAATGATATCCTGCAAGAAGACAGACATTAGAAGATTTTCTATTTGTTCACAGTCTGTAAGATTTCTTTGTAAAATCTAAGAATATTAAGCCTTCAAAAGAGCAAACCGTGCCACATTAATTTCCTACAAACACAACAAGGACACTGTCAGGTGATTACTTCAACATCCAAAATACACACACTCTTCAAAACACAGACATATTTCATTTAGTGTAATAAAAACAAAATCTGAAATTAAAAACACTTTAAAATTATCTGTGATGTTTACTGCACTAAAAATAATAAAAGACATATAGGTATATGTTTATTTCAAAATATTTTTAGCATTTAGTTCATAAGCACACAGGACTATTAATAAAGTTCAAGCACATTATTTGTGAATATTCATGAATTCACCATCTTTCACAGGTCCTTTATCTTTGCTGAGCAGAAATCTGCTCACATAGTCATAAAAGAAAGGGATGACCCAAGAGATTTTGTGCAGAGAACTAGCGTGCTTGGTAGCTTGATAATACCATCCAGAAACAAACACTGATGCAACAGCAATTGCCAAAAAATAAATAAAGCTAATTCCCCCTCTCCCACTCTCCTCCAAATAACCAACCAAAAAAATCAAAAGGAACAAAGTTAAATGTCCTTTAAATGCAATGCCACTAAATTGGAAATTTGAGTCAATTCTCAGTTTTGGAAATTGAATCAGAATTTGAAAAGATTCAGGTAAGAAAATGCCATGATTTGTCAGGGCTTCAACAGTAGATTATAGATTGAACATACTCACTTCTACGCTTTCTTCTGCAATTGCATCTCCTGCTCCCAGCTTAATGGAACCACAACTTGCTTCATCTTCAACTTGCCTGTTACGGAAAGTTAGCGCCTGCTCCCATCGACGCAGTGCTTCTTCAAAAAGCTCCATGCCTAGGGGAGATCAGCAGTACCTCCATTCCATCAAATACACTCCATATGTATTCACATTTTAGAGTCACAGGAAAGTATCCAGCTAATAAGCATGATTATAGCACAGACAGCAATTCCTAGTCTTAAAAAAGTATCTGCCTTTTTAATAAGATAAAGAAGTTCACAATATGATTAAAGCAACAATGTTCAGTGTATTTTTTCCTATTTACTTTTTAAAATAATTCTATGGTTTACTACTACAAATACAGTAATAAAAATATGTATTTTAAAAAACTAACTCCAGATCAATCAAGATTTCATTATTTTATAGAAATGTTCTTGGACATATGCCCACAGGACACCGAAGGATCACCACAATAATATTGTGTGTTACTTTGCCACAAAACCAAGACATTATTTACATTCATTGTTGGCAGATGCTGAATATTCTTAGTATAACTTACCCATCAAATATAAATTTTCAGGTGTGGTCACTGGAATATTGACAAGCTTAACATCATCTTCGTCTGCTTTATCCCAGGAATTAGAATTGCCACAAGCACAACTGTGACAAGAGGTGGCACTCTGAACCTTAAAAAAAAAACCAAACAAATTTTGAAGCGTTGTTATACAGAGTATCCTTAAAACTGCATTCCTGTCAGAGTACATTACATCCAAGTTATCTATCTAGAAACTATATTTACTATGTAGTAAGTACAATGGCCTCTCTAGCCCTCTGTGTAGCTTGTTCAGGAAAGTCGTTTCAGGTCAGTGAAACCATTAGGTGCAAGTTCACAGACATTCAAGAGCCTTAAAACACTTTTACTTACCGAGACCAGACTCTGAACTGAACCGGAGTATTTACTGAAAAGTCCCCCATTTGCATAGATACAAGACTGAGATCCTTTTTCCTTGGCAGAGCTCAGAGAAAGAGTCAAGTTTTGCCGACTACTGGAACAACTAGAACCTAACAGAGACACTGATTTTAAAGTTGCTGCAAACTCAAAACATGGTATCTTTTGTTAGCAAGATCTATCAAGAATTGCTTTTACTCTTTTCAATAAAATTTAGTTTAGAAAAAAACAACAATTATTCTTTTATTTACAGTTCTGTATGAGAAACTACAAATTAGAGCAGTCAATATCTATAACAATAACCATGCATTTAGACATAATTATTTTTCCATCCTATAATAATTTAAATCTGCTTTTCTCAGTCTTGACATATGTCCACAAGAACTGCAAACCCCATTGTTAACAAACTATTCATAAAAAAAGGTTAATCCAAATCCATGATTAAAACTTCAGCTTTGAGAACAAGACCAGCTTGTTTATAAAACACTGTAATTGTGTTCCTAATTTGCACAATTTCTACTTCAACAATTCAAACCTGCTCAGCATTAAAGGAAAAGTTTGTTTTCGACTACATGTTGTTTACTACTCACATCCCTTTTCTTCCCCTCCAAGACACAAACAAAAAATCCTCGGAGGTTCCTTCACATACCTTTTTCTGATGCAGCTGCTTTGGTACACTCTAATACTAGATGACTTGGTTCCCATGGTGGCACTTTCTTGGTTTTCTTTCCACGTCTTCTTTTAAAATGACGGGCCAGAAAAATAACAGATATTGCACTCACTGCTGTTACTGTGAAGAGCTTCTTTAATCCAGGGGAAAGCTTTATCTGAAAATAAAAGAGTGTGACTTCATTGCAAATATATGCTCCTTAACTCCCACCTTTCCTCCTACCCTCCTTTTGGTGTGTCCAACCTAGACTATAGCTTGTCTGAGGGCTATCAGAGATGCTGCTCTCACACAGCCTGAGAAACAACCAACCCTGAGTAAGGACATAGACTAACTGCTTCTCACACTTTGCGTTGGCCAGTAGGTGAGAGAGTTTACAAAGGTGTTGGTGGGACGAAGTGAGTGGGCACACTGAGACGCGTATTGCAGCACCAAGAACTAGAAGGTATATTGCAAATCCACAAACTATGGGGATCTGGGTATTTTAATGCCAGGACAACGCAGGGCCTTAAGTAATTCTCTAACAGAAAAAAAAAAAATACTGAGAAGAAACTCACCCTTCACAAGTAGATTGCTTTCTTGCACTGTGAAAGAGTAGAGGATCCAAAAGCTAACATTTGCATGCTGTTTCAATTTGGGAAGAACATGTATTTAAACACACTTCTCTAAATAAACCTGGGTTTTTTTTTTTATTGTTATGTCTTATTTTTAATATAGATCAGTCATAGGTTTACAAATGTTTAAATCAGCAAATAAGAACCACTTATACAAGCAACTGGAATTAAATGCCATTAACAAAGTTTATAAAGTTCAAAATGACAAGATATAGGAGGAAGAAAAGAGCTGTTTAACTGGAAACCAGAGTCCACATCCACAAAATCTTTAGGAAACCTATGCTGCTTGAGAAACAGACTGCTGGGAGAAAACCAGACCTGAAGTCCTTGGGGCTAATATGGTGTTTCTGTAATGTTTACTCACACGGGAGAGAGCTGCCCACAGAGTACCACCGCACTCTGGCAGTCCCTGGTTGCTGTGCAATTGGTCAATACTATGAGAGTGGTGTAATTTAAAGAAGCACTGAAAGCTTTGCTCTGCACTGAGTTTGCAATCAACAAGTGAAACATCACTGACTTGAGAAACCTCCCCTTAGTAGTACTGTGTCTTGACAGAGGCCAAAAAGCTGGCACTGTTCTGCGAGGAAAAGGAAATCCCTGAAACACAGTACAAACATATGCTTACAAAAGACTATTATGTTTAACAGAAAACAGTTAATAAGCAAATAACTGAGATTGAAACTGTAGTTCTAGCACTTCATTCTGTGAGCTTCAAGGTTTTAAAGAACTCTAAGTGGATTAAAAAAAATTAAAAAATCTTGTCTGTGCCTAGAAGTACTATCATAAATAAATTAATAGTAAAATGAAAACCTCTAAGGAGGGGAAAGTTAATAGTTGCAGGTAATGGAGTTGCACATGGTATTTAAAAAGGATATGCACACGCTGCAACATAAAGAAGAAATCAGTGATCTTGCAGTGAGAATTTTTAAGTACTGCAAATACAGAAAAGTGTGAAAATAATCAGATGTAGCCAAGATTGAGAAGATCTCATGCTGGTTCTATATGCAGTAACACTTTGAAAAGCATTTGCATGCAAATACAAAAAATGCCATAGGTTTTGCTTGCAAGCATCTAATTCAATAAAAATAAAATACAGTCATACTAAAGACATGGGTTTTAAAAGCAGAACTTTATTAGGACCTGCTAATATCTACTTTTTAAAAAATATTATTGGCATTCCTAATTATATTTTTTTTTCTTTTAGTTATCCTTGTCAATGACTCAGCATGTACAGAATGGAAAAAACTACTGAACCATATTTTATACAGCCAACTAGAAACACTTTTTTTTTTCTCCTATATATTATAGCATCAGCTCACTTTTCAAGAAATTTATTCTCTGAGGGATACTGTTGAAGCATTAATATTATCTCAAGTACTTATTTCCCTCCACCACTTATCACAGTTATTGGTTTATAGGCAACTAACACCTCTCTTCTCAATGTCTACAACACAATTACAGGTCCTCCTCCCTGTCTTTGGCATGGAGGTGCTCTAGGGACAAATCTTATGATTCCCTGCAGACAGGGAACATCAGTTTCACAATACTTACAGCTTTTGTCAACCTGAAAACTAAGATCATAATGGACTCTTCACCCAGATTTGAGCAACTGCTAGCCACGTTGCCATTTATATAGTGAAAACAAGCCTATAATATATATATAAAAAATAAAATCACTCCAGGGTCACAATAAAAGGAAATGCTGCAATTAATAGAGCTTTAAGATTTTCTTTGAAGATTTTTCCATAAAACAAACAAACAAACGCAGCAAAACCAGCCCGTTTTTTAAGAATCGCTGTCTTGTTTTAGTCATGTGCCACTTAGTTTTGCCATTTTGGCAAAAATCCTGCCAAAAATCAAGCAGGATTTTTGATTTGCATTAATGAATTATCATTCAGATTAGTCTGGTGAGTGGCAATCTAGAAAATATTTCAGACCACACTCAATACTATTATTAAAAGTTTAATGACAGTTATGTGCTGTTGTGAAATGAAAAACAGTCCTGTTGCAAAACGAAGACATAGATGTTGCAGATAAAGCAATCTCTTCAGTCATATGTATGGTGATGCACTAGGCACTTATCAAAAGACAAAACCTCCCTCTTATTTTAATTCAGTGTTCTAAATAAACTAAAATCAAGTTATTCCTACAAATTTAATTCATATTAAAATCAGAAGAGCGAGTCCAACTTTACAATTAAACTTCTAGACATATACCACAAGTGACAATGTTCAGATAATGTATACATTACCTGGTTAAGAGAACAATACCAATAAAGGGGAAGATGAAATACCCGCAAAGCTACAGTCTTCAGAGAAAATCGTGCCTCAGTAACAGCTTCTTCTGACATGGCTCCTTCTCTCCCATAACCTCATTAAGTGGAACTATCTTGAAAACAGTCACAGATGGTCTCTGGAATACCCTGTCAAATGAAGGATACATACTAAATTATGCAAGAGAAGCCCAGGACAGCTTTGTTCTTCAAGCTCAAATCTCTTACGTAACAGGTACACGAATTGTTTGATTGATGTTTCCGAGTAAAGACTCGTGCTTAATGAGAAGCCAGCAAATTTGCTGGCTCAGCTTAAGCCCCCTTCCTTCCAACCGCTCTGAGCAGAGACGTGTATACATATAACCAGGATCTACAGAGGAGTCAGTCTGCTTTAAGCAGCTGGCAGTTCACTCGTTATATCCTCTAAATCATCCATGGAAACAACCTTGCTTCTACAATCACTACTGAAGATATCTGCCAGCTAAAAGAGTTAAAAGATTTGAGAGCAGCTAGCAGAAGTTTATCTCATGCAAAGCTTTAATTTTTTGCGGAAACATGATGAGGAACAAATACAACAGCCTGACGTAATCTCCCCCGTTAAAAGGGACATCACTCTTGCTCCCTGATGCTAAACACAAGGCGAAGCCCCTGACGCGTGACATTCACGACCACAGCCGTGGCACGGAGCGAGGTGAAGGCAAAGGCGGGCCCACACGCCGAGGGAGCGGTCAGCTTTAACCACCGGCTACGTTCCCTCCGCCAGCACCTCCG